TTTTACTTGTAGTTATGGACAACTTAGAGGCAGAAAACCTGAAGTAAATATTGTACTGTTGAAATATAATGATTTCTTTATAAGACCTAACAGAATGTGAATCTCTGATAATTGAAATGATTTTGTAAAATTAAGCTCAAAATTATTTATATAACTTGACTTTTCCCTCTCATAGATGTATATACTTTTATCAAGTTATCTATACAGTTATTGCAAGATTCATTTTACTTGCTAATAACCACAAAATCCTAAAGAACATCCTACACACACACCTCAGAATTTCTGGATATGCAAATTAAAAGTAATTTTAATGCTCAAGACAGTGAGATAAGTTAGTAGATTTTCTACCACCATGATTATTCTCACATCGTAGGTAACATGATTCTCAGGTAAATTTAAAGTACTAGTTTCCCTAAGGTAAATATGCAGGATTTCATTTTGGGTGATTTAAATTGGAGAAAGTTTACGACAATCTTGAATTTTACTATGCACCATTATCACTTGGATCTTCCATCATGATTCCAAATTCCACTTATCCAAGCCTAAACTGGGTGTGCGTTTTTTGTTGTTGTTGCTCTGAGTGAGGCTTCTGTCTCAATTTTTCAATTTTTGTGAATTTTACCAGTATTGTCTGAATTTCCAAAAATCAAAATTTGAATTCTCAGAGGTTTCTCTGTTATTATCTCTTAAACTTGTTACTATATCCCATTAATTCCTCCTTTCTAATTGTGATAGGATTAGGGTCTTCACATTGTTTCACCTCATTCCCTGCCTTCTTCATTTCCAATTATTCAGTTAGTCTAAAAATTGGAATTGAGGATATAATGGTAAGTAGTGAAAGAAGAGATCCTTGCCCATATGGCATAGGAAGGAAGACAGATATTAATATGCACATCCAAACACCTGTAAAACTGCAGCTATGGAAAATACTATGAAGAATAAGTATGAGATGTCATAATACTCTCAGATAGACTACTTTGAGCTACTTGTGAAATTAGGTAATTTAGGCTTTCCTGATGAAGTGATGCATGAATCGAGATCTGAAAGATGAATTAATAAAATGAGGAAGAACAGGAACAACATTGTAATTTGTGGCAACAGAATGTGCAATGCTTTTTTGGTAGAAGGAGAATACTAAGTACTAGAGAACTGAAAAGAAGCTTAGAGCTGGGTGCAGTGGCACACACCTGTGATCCCAGTGACTCAGGAGGCTGAGGCAGGAGGATTGCAAGTTCAAGGGCAGCCTCAGCAACTTAGCGAGGACCTAAGCAAATCAGCAAAACTGTCTCTAAAAAAATAAACAAAAGGTCTTGGGATATGGCTCTGTGGTTAAGTGGCCCTGGGTTCAATGCTCAGTATGAGAGAGAGAGAGAGAGAGAGAGAGAGAGAGAGAGAGAGAGAGAGAAAAGAAGAAGAAGAAGAAGAAGAAGAAGAAGAAGAAGAAGAAGAAGAA